AGACCTCATTGCGTTGCATGTGCACTGCAAAAAAAAGAAAGCTGAGAACTAGATTCGAACTCCTGTACTGTTTGCTCACACTGATAAAATACCGGTTGATACCGCCGGTACAACCGACCGGTATACCGCATGGTTCGGTAGACCGTGTGGGAATTTCACATGTCCATTAGGTTAAGCGCCCACTATACTCGGCAGTGACCGCTATGGTAACCGGCGGTATTTTAGCGGTTCTGATGACATGGGACACAAACAACACGAATATTTATTTGATTTCTCCATTGAAAAGTGTTGAGAAACTAACAGCTTTACAAATGTTGGCGCCTAGAAGTAAAAGATAGTCCCACTAGGAATGTTGGGTTTGAGATTTGTAAGAAAAGTCGATTAATCTAGACTGATTATTTTGTTTTCAGTCAGTAAATTAGCCAGGAGAATTGAAGTTGTATCGTTTTAAAAGAGTATCTCGGCGGGATCTCCCCGACCGGCTATCGACAGAACCAGTTTCGGCCCTTCCCAGAGACCTCCTCAGAGGGATTTGCAAGAGAGTTTTTCAATTACACGAAAATATCATTTTAAATGAAGAGAATTCAAAAAGATCTATATTTACAATATTTAACATCGAAAAAAAATTGATTTGGTCGATAAAGTACACTGAAAAAATGAAAATAACCTGACTTTATCAGGTTTTTCCTCACTTTCACTATTTTCCGCAACTTTTTTTAAGTTTCAAGGTCATATTCGGATAGAGCATGAAAAACTACGTCGATCTGTATATATAACTCATTGGATCAAAAACTCGTCAGAAAAAAAATTGGCCTACATTGAGAACAATACACGCCGTTTTTTTCAGTTTTTAGCCAAATAAACTGGAATTATACGTCTGTTGAGTCCTCAATCTGTTTGGAATTGATGGAACAATCGTTTCTAGATATATATAAAGTATTATTGCTATTATAAACTGATTTTTAGGGCTGGAAGACAGTGATTTCTAAACAAAGGTAAAAAAGTTACCTTTGTCAGAGGAGGCAGTTTTTTCATTCAAATCACATTTTCATGCAAAACAAACCTTATATTCGTGATCAGCGTGGTCGATAACCTATATCTAGATGAAATTAGAGTGAAAAACAAAAAAAAAAATATTTTTCCCTGGGGCAAAAAAAAATTAAAAAAAATAAAAAGTTATTTTTTTCCACAAAAATATACCGTTTTGTTCAGAATTTAATGCTGATTCTAACCATATAGTTTTTTTCCCTAAATGTTTTGGGCGAAAAAATGACCTTAGCGCCACTTGTCCTTTGAGTGCATTATTCATTTATTATGCGGTTTCAATCAAATCTCATTCATGTCTTTCTTGATATGAACATCTCAAAAGAAGTATCGATTTGTGAATATTTTAAGCTGGTATTGAAGATACTGTAATACAGTCCAAAAGTGACATGAAGAATTGCCGAGAATAAATACGGTTGAATAAATCTAACAAATGTAGTCAAAGTAGAAAGAACATATTAGAAAGTTCCGGTTCTTTATTTCTGATTGAAATTACAGATGTTATACTGTATGATTTTTATTGATTCCAATATTATTTACATGATAGATCAGTCAGTTGAGTCAAATCAGATTCAATCAATTTATTTTTTCTTTCGACTAGTATTGTCGCGAGAAATTCTGCGTTTGACTCTAATGTAACAATAATCTTTAGACGAAGCGATGACATATTGGAAGAAAAATTGTGAAGTTAGCTCAGGTATCATTGTTCGACAGCTAGTGATTTGGATCGATCCCGATCAGCAAACAGCGAATAACAACAGTACAACTTTTGAAATGCTTCATACCTGTGAATATGTTGATTTTCATCCATTCGAAGACGTTGATTCTGCAATATTTTATCTGATGCGTAATCATGAGTTTAGCCATGTCCGAATAGTCTTAGCTAGCCAAATAGCCGATGAATTCTTCGACATGCAAGAAATAGCACGACTTCAAACAGTAGTATGTTTAACGATGTGTATTTTCATCTTTGATGCGAACGAACAGGAAGAAGTCGAGCGTTACGATCGTTATCTCACGTATCTACCATGTCGGCGAAAATGTTGGACAAACGAACGGGATCATTGTGAACGATGTTTGATTATGTCAAGAGACAAACATCTATTGCAAGAATTTTGTCTTCAAACTGATACATTCGGTTTGACAATTGCCACCGTCATTTTGCTTGAGAAGGTCGGAGCATTTGGTAACATGTTTTCGGCTACAGTTGATAGGGAACGAAACGAAATTGTACTGACGGATAATTACAGCGATCATGATCACATCGAATTTGTCGGCTACATTTCTGGTTGTGACGTGACAATCCCAAAGGTATTGTATCATCTTCGCTTTGCCGAATCCATTCATATGTCAAAGACTGATGTTCAAATTGCGTGTTTGGTCATATTTGGTCGTCGCCATCAGCTAACTGACCAACAAATTGCAATTTTATGTCGATATTTTGGAACGGGAAATTGCGTTCGCTCGACAACATTCATCAAATATCTTGTTCGATTATGGTCTCTCGAATCACCCATCCCATTTTATCGCTTAGTCAATAGAGCACTGGCTGAATGCTCCACAGATGACATTCACTATTTACGTTTTATCATCTACGATTATTTTGAACTGTTTTATGCAAAATTACTTCCATACTTTGCTGGCACACTGTATCGAGGTATATCGATGACAGAAGACAATATTGTCATACTTATGTCACTGGAAGGACAAAAGATCTATTTTGTTTGTTTCACGTCAACATCAAAGAATCGTGCACGTGCTCAAGTCGGTGGCAATGTTTTATTCGAAATTGAAACACTTTCAGCTAAAGGTCAAGATGCACAAAAGTTACATTCAAATGCTGACATATCAATTGTTTCTCAATTTCCGGAAGAAGAAGAAGTTCTTTATGCCCCACTTGCAACATTCCAAGTTATGAATATAATACGTGATGATGACGATTATGGCATGGAACATTATACCGTGAAACTACGAGAACTTGGTGGTAGCTCATTTCTCTCTATATTACATTTCGATAGGCTCAAACGAATGCCAAATACATCACCCTTCTTAATAGGTACCGATTATTGGCAAATTCCAATCAGTGAAGGTAAGCATTTTTCAATACTATACATTTCCATCAATTTTCGGATTGCTTAGGTATTGTGAGTACGGATGAGTTTGGTGTTTGGTTCACTAAAATAGGAATAAAATCTTTAAAGACTTATGTTAGTTTCGATCGATCAAGTTTTTCACCAACAACTTATTTTTTTGTTAAAAATATTTTCCCTGTAATGTATCTAGACGTACTTTACAAGTTATTTTATCTTTTCAAATACACATAAATTTTAGAATTTTAGCCTTTTACAACTGGTATTGAACATATACAGGGTGTTTCATAAGTCTTGAGGTTTGACAAAAACTAGTTTATATGCAAATAAGTAGTAATCTCTAGCTGAATGCAGTTATATAAGGTTTGAGCGTTCGTGCCTGTTATCTAAATAGCATATTATTCGATGGCATCTTTTATTGTAATAATAAAAATATAAACATAAGAATATGTTGATAAATTTTTCGAAATTGAATATCATAATTTTTTTAAAGATCTCTCTTTTTCATGAAGAACCATTTTATTCAATGTTCATCATCTATCAATGATCATATTTTCAGTCAATCTATATCCTCAGGATTTGGATTCAAAAGAGATGTCGTAGAAGTGATATACTTCAAGATGATGCAGACTCAAAACAAAGAACAAAATTGTAGAACTTTACTGACGGCTAACACATTGAAAATATGTGAGGAATATTAAAGAAAAAAGTAAAAAGATAACAATTTTCAAGCTTCAAATAACTAAAAATTAGTTTCAACAAACTATGCCAAAAAATAACTCGTAATGATTGGAGAAAAAAAATGAATGACAATTTGACGAAGTGAAAAAAAGTGGTGCGCTACAGATAAGTAATAGATAAATCACATTAGTGTACTTTTCTTTTTTTTTAAAAGTAACTTATCTTATAAAAGACTGGCGCAAGTACTCAAACATCATATAAATGCATTTGGTTAGAGATTTTTTTTTCTTGCATATAAACCGATTTTATCAAGCGTCAAGCCTTACAAAACATTGGATAGCTAGAGCATGGTTTTGTTTCGAGAAACTTACATAATAATATGAACTTCACGCTATCTTTGATTTCAAAAATTAGGAAAATATTTAAACATTCTTATAGAAGACTTAAATATATGTAGGAAATGAAAATAATTTTTCGAATGTCTTGTTCATTTAGAAGAGCGAATGAATCTGAGAAGTTATCAAACATGGAAATGAACATACAAGCTTCGTCATTCCAATATTTTAGCATTCAATTCAACAGCGTTTCATCTACGATATTTATCTCTATGCATTACATCGAACAGTCGAGTTCATCCATTTTCTTGATGTTTTCTTCTTATATGATGTGAATAGAAAATAATGACAAGAAAAAAAGACTATTATTCTGCAATATTAGTTGTGACGAGAGAAACGATTATAACAGAATTTAACGTAGCCAAGCATTTTTCTTTTTGGCTGA